AAGAGTGAGACGCTGCTCATAATATATGCAGTTGCCATGCAGTGCTCTGGCCTGGGCACATTCTCATGCTTTGCAGTCGGCACTGAAACATATTATAAAACATAGATGACGTTGTTGTTATTTTGTTTTTGTTTTGATTTTGGCAGCTGTTGCGCGCTGTACCCTGTACAATGTACACTGTACACCGTACACTGTGCACGGCTGTCAAGAGTCGAGTTCAATGCAAGTGAAACAAGTTTGTTGCTTAAGGAGCGGCATTGGACACAGGCCTCAAACGAATGTGTTGCAAAACAAAACAATGCACTTGAAAAGCTGCAGCACTACTTACAATTAATTACTCTTGATAAACACAATCGTTTAACAAACAGTTTAACTGCTTTCAGATATACATTGATGTGTGTGTGTGTGACTTACTCGTACATAGCATCGACCAGATCGCGCTCCCAGGTCATCAGACGCTTCATGTTGCCCGAAAGGAAATGCGTGCAAAATATTAAGATGCTTTAAATTCAATGCACACGCGTGCGTTATACAACACAAATCGTTGCTAAGTCTTTGTGTGTGTGTGAGTTTGAGTTTTGTATATATTTTAGTTTTGTGTCTTTTTTGCGCTATTTTTTGTTGTTTTGTGTGTTTTGTTTTGAGGTCGGCGAAAACGCGGCGACAACACGCGGCGTCGCTGACGCGGCTGCGACTAAAATGTAACGGACGGGCAGCAGCAGCAGTAGCGGCAGCCGCAGCAACAGCAGCAGCGCGGCGACAGCAAACAAACAGAAAGAGGAATATGTTCGTATCTAAACGTATAGTTGTATAATTATACAAGTGTGCGTATGTGTGTCTGACGAGTGACAGCTCCTCCTCGGTCGAACGGCTAGCAAAAATAAAATGCTCTCCGCGCTCCTGTTACAACCTTGACGACAGCCGCAGCAGCAGCAATTGTATTACAATTATTATAATTGATATTTGTATTTTGAAACAAAAAGATTCGAGCACTTTTTTATTATTATTAATTTGTGTGGATGTTGTTGTTTTTTTTTTTTTTTTATAATACTGGTAAGCGACAGATGACGTTATCGCTGAATCTGGGTACTGTGGGCTCTGGGCTACGATTGACAGCCTTTTGATGCTTTTGTTATTATTATTCGGTTGATGTTGTTGTTGTTATTGCTTGGCAACTCTCTGAAAAAGCACACACACAAATCGAATTCCACTCTTTTCGCTCTTTCAGAAATGCGTTCTTTTTGTGGTTGGAAAGGCGAATATGGTTTTTATTTTGAAATAAACAAAAGCGCGCATTATTCACACAGCGTCTGCTCCGGCCGACAGAGCGTAACAATTTACTTTTGAATTGAAGCGGGCGAAACGAAGTGTATTTGTAGTTTAAGCGGTAACGGTTATTGTTATTTCGTATTCAGTTTACAGTTCATCCGTTTGTAATTATTTAAGCGGCGTCTCATTTACAACTGACGTTGCATGTAAAATGCGTTTAAATAACTTTACAGCAGCGACGCCGTCGCCGTTGATCGTGCAACGAACTGAGAGCGAGAGAGCACACGACCGCGTAGAAGAGATGCTGTTGCTGAGAAACAGAGAGAGTAAGACAGAGAGCGCGCTTGACTGAGCGAAGTGCCGCGCAAACAGAAGCAGCGTCGGCGTCGTCGTTGACGCTGAATTATAGCGCAGGTGTATTACTTTCTGCGAAGACGGCTGAAACCAAACTGAAACGCTCAGTTGACAGCGTTGTTTCTTTTTATTTCAACTCACTGTGAGTGGAGGAACCGATAACAGCACGCCGCGTCGCTAGCAAGAACAGGCACTGCCGCAGCACAGCAGCAGCAGCAGCAGGCTGTTAAACACAAGCAAAAACTAAGAGCAGCAGCAGAAAAAACAACAATAGTAGGAAGACGCAAAACCAAAATGAAATACAATAGCTGATAACAACTTTGTTTTTTTTTTTTTCTTTTTTTGCTTGTTAGTATAGGCTTCACAAATAGCAAACACAAACACAGAGGAAAGGAAAAAAAAAAAAGAAGCAAAACGCCGGCGCGTTGCGCCATGCAACAAACGCAAACAAATAAAATTAATTGTAAATTTTAGGCGGCTTTGCGAAAAGATTTATATACACAGTGATATTCTTGCCGATTAAATCACGACAATTAACGCGGCAGCAGGCGACGCCGACGGCATTGGCTGTGCCATAAAGCGGGCTTACGTCGCGTATACGTAATATGCAAGCATGTAAATATGCAAAGTGCATGAAAAATGTGAAAAGCTGCGACGTCTGTTAACGGTCGCAGTTGCAATAATTCGCATTGTTATTGTTATTGTTGATGTTATTGCTGCTGTTGTTGTTTTTATTGCAACACGCGCTTAAGCCATCGCAATTAACTGCAATATTTAGTCAGCTGTGTGGGCGTGGCCGGCGGGCGGAACAGACGCTGTTCAACATTATCGCCAATTAGGAGTTGTGCCAGCATTTAACTTTATTTAATTAAATGCAATCTGCACTCAGCGACACTCGACTTTTGGAAATCATACACACGTATGTATGTATGTATGTATGTCTGTCTGTTCAGAGATAAGAGTTTCAATGCGTAAAAAGTTTGTTTAGAAATTTATATAGGTCTCTCATCATTTTTAATTTGCAGCTATCAGAAATGACGGCAATACAGCAACAAAAATAACAACGAAGCAAATACAAAATGTGAAGAATAAATACTCTACCATGCATACAGTCAGTTGACCTTAGAGTATAGTACAAAGTTTTGTAATCACATGATATGCGCATCGATATCAACCGCTAGAACAGCTGATTACATAAACAAGGCCCATAGAATAGTTTAAATAAGTGCGCTTTACAGCTTTCTATGTTAGATTAACATTAGGTTAACATCAGCTTACAATGTTAATGATATGAAAGCTAACATATTGCAAATTTGCAAAATATTCTTGCAAAACACTCGAATATATTATATATATCAAACATTTTTATCTTGAATAAATTCTTAGAATTATACAGCATTAAGTAAAATAAATAAGATATATTAGCAAAACATATATTTATATATATATGACTCAATGGCAACATTTTCGACTGTACAGAATTTTCAGTTGAATTGTTTTTGCATCTTCGATTCGCGGACGATAGAAATGTATGTGCGAAACAATGGATGAAAAACCTGTTTATCAACAAAAGCTCGTTAATAATTTACTCCAACATTTGGCGAGTAAGCACAGACAGAGAAATCAGCCCAGGGAATTGATAGAAATTTAGAAAATTAATCATACGACTCGTTTGTCGATATAGAAAGCAATCAATGGGGCCAAATGCCGGACTGACCTATGCCTACACAGAAAAATACAAAATGGGCATCATCCATTTGCTGTTGCTGTTCTTGGTCATAAAAGCGATCTGCTTAACTTGTTGTCTATATATAGACCCTGTGCGATTTGCATTCGCCTAATCGAAACTCTCGTCTGCTGTCCCAACAACAGCTGAGGAAATCCCCCTGGCAAATGGCCAATTGAGACGAACGATTTGTTGAACACGTTTGTTAATTGGCCGAACTCATCTCTCGTGCGAGCAAATAATAAAAATTAATTAATTGATTATGCGCATTACAATTCTCATTCTCTTAATTGAACTGCGCCAAAACATTCACACTTTTACGCAGCACTCGTACCAAGCCCAGCCACAGGTAACTAGTAGCTACCTGTGCTAAGCTCTCATCTCATCCCAGCTGAAATATTGACAACAAAAGCAAAAACGAAAGCAAGCCGTTGCCTCTGAGTAATCTTTCTACATTTGCACAGCAGGTACTGTAGAGCCCGGCACTCGGCACTCAGTATTCGGGCTCTATTCTATGCCACATCTAACCCCAATTACTTATATGCTCAGGCAGTAGGCGGAAATCATATTTAATTGTCCACCCACCGACAGCCTTAAATCAAAATAATTTAATTTTGTCATTCATCCAATCAACGGAAAGTTTATCTCATTTCGTTTTCTTTTTGCGCTCGCGTGTCACTTGTCATTGCTAAACAAAGGGGGAGCGTGTGGGAGGTGGGGTCCAAAGAGAGAGGGTACAAGACTTGAGGCCCTCGTTTACTTTATCGCACACATTTTATAGTCTATATGCATATCGTATTTGTAGCTCATGCGTAATTTGTGTATCCAAGCTGATCAAATGTCCTATCAATTTGCCAAGTCAACAGGTGCGCGATGTGTGTATCGGTATATGTATATGTGTACACTCCTGTGAAATGCCTTACGAATGACATAAGTGCGATATCTAGTATATTGTCAAGCAAGATTTCTCGCAGATCTTTGGCAAAGAGCCCTGGCCCAATTGCGTGCGCTCATGACGTATGCGCAATATTTGCAGAAATCATAAATGCTGCACAGCCATGACATACCCTGTATTCGGTCGACAATTTAAATGCTTGATCAGAAAAGTATGCTATATTAATGCAACATTATCAAGTGCAATATCAGCAATTTCTCACAATAGTTGATTCACATTGAATTCGTTTTTTATTCGATATTTAATCACATTAATTTTACTTTTGCGCAGTTGTCTGGATTTTGAGGTTCTTGTAAAAATGTAATACCGGTTTTTGTATGACACGGCATAAAGCCGGCTTGAGTTCTTATTCCAGCGTCTGTAGGGCAGCTAATTTTAGTTGTTATTTCATAAACTTATATTTGGAACTAATTTAAATATTGAATTCATATTCAAATACGACAGACTCGAAAAAACTTAATACAATAAAGTTTAAGAGTGTGAACCAAATATATGTATATGTGTTACTAGGCTATATTTAAAAATGAAATACCTCAGTGTCTAATTCAGTTAATTGGACTTTAAGTGTGCTCAAAGTGAGCATCTCATAACTGTGTTTAATTATAGGTCTATATATTATTTTGCATATGTATGTCTTTGTATATATACATATACATATATGTATGCATATATCTGAATATAGATTTGCTCACTCACCTATTTAGTGCTCCTGGCGACTCGCTGACCGCCTTGATCGATCGCCTGATTTGCTTGTGAAATGAGCCGAGGAAAGACTCCTTGCGAGAGAGCAGAGTTCCGCTGCCGCTCGACTCGCCGCCAGCGCTGTTGATGCCCGACCCATAGGTGGCGCTGCGATTGTAAGCCTGCTCGATGTTGGCACTGGAGTCGGCAACGGGATCAGCGCTGGCGCTCGCTGGCAGCGCATTAATGCTGAGCTGCTCCACATGGAGTGCGGCTGTCTGCTTGCCATCTTTGATGTTGCTGGACTTGATGAGGACAGGTGCCTTGCTGTTGTCCTCGCTGAGCAGCTTCGTCCAAGCACTTTCGCCGGCTACCTCCGTCTTATCCATAATCATTCTATTTGGCATTGACTACTTACGTCTAGCAGTTAGTATATCTGTATGTATGTATATGTGTTAGGATCCTGCTCTATTTTGGTCGCTTGCTTTGGTGAGTGCTTCTGGTTGGGTGTATGCGGGAGTCGGTGTGTGTGGTATTCGTTATAACGGGAAACTGTGCGCGTGACTGGGCACACTTTTCGTCTTCACATTGAGCATTTGGGAGTGGAACATCGAGACGCTTTTGCTGAGTTCTGCAAACCAAATGAAACCAGTTGATGAATTTCAGTATGTTGATTGCTTTCGATTTTAATTCTCATTTGGTCACGATTAACAAATAGACTAATCAACTTCATAAGCAGACGAACTTGTTGTTGCATTTAACATTTCACATCAAATTAAATTTTTTATATTTTCATGAGGTTGTTAATTTTATAATTAGCCCTGTTTTTTTTTATCGCTTTTCGAGCTGGTTCTGTTTTTCATTCCTCATTTTTATACTTTATCCACCCTGAAGCTAAATTAAATTTTATATGAGCTAAAATCCTGTCAAAGAACTCAAAACAAAACTATCAAAATGTCAGAGAATAAATATAACTTAATGTAGCTCATATGTAAATTGTTTACATGATTGAGCTGATTTGATTAATTTCATGCTGTTCACAGCTGCTGTTCATATAAAAAGTCTCGCTGTGTTCATTATGAATTGATGCCAATTTTTCAAAACACTTTCGGATAAGTTTTCACCAAAATATTTGAATTTTGTTTATATTGAACGATACCGGGTTTGTTGCTGTTGTTTTTAATAATATTTATAAATATTAAAATTGTATATTGCATAAATTGATATATGCACTTTTTGGTAAATATCGTGAACTACATAAGGCAAATAGGTTTACATATATATTTTTTTTTATTTCACGCTCGCTTACTTTTTTCAGCGCGTTATAGAGAGAAATAAAACAACTTTTGTATAACAAACGATTTCACTTCGAAACGTGCGAAAATCACAAAACAATTTGAGTGCTTAATTATGCTGCCGTTGCTGTGCTTTAATTAAATAATTCGTATAATTTCTATTATTATTATTTTTAGCACTCGCTAGCCGCGCACTGAAGAACCGTTAAATGAGCGATGCGTGCGTTTGAGTTCCAAAAAAAAATAAGCAAAATATTCGACTCAGTCAAGAAGAATGTTGGAACAAAAATGACTTACGAGGAGCAACACGAGACGAAGACTGCGAGCGTTCGGTATGACTGTGTGCGCGTGGCGCTATGCGTCTCTGAGTCTTTTGAGTGTTTGTGTGTGTGGCTGTAGCTGACGCTGTTGTTATTGCTGTCGCTGTGTTTGCGAATAAGGCCAAAGTGGACGCTGAACACGCACGCGCTTTGGTCACACTGCCAGTAACTGGGGCCAGAGGCGCTTTTGCTCTGTGTGTTTTGGCTTTGCTTCTTGCCTCCGCAGCGTATGAGCAGCGTTTGCAAATTAACTTGGCGCTCGAGTGCGCGATGCCAGTTTTATTATCCAAATGTGAGCAGCACCAGCAGCAGCAGCAGCAGCCGCAGCAGCGCCAGCAGCAACAACAATCACGACCGGTAACGGTAGCGTCATGTAGCACACACTTTTATCGAGTTGGCAAACGAGGCGTCTGCGTCGGCGTTGCCTCGGCGTCGGCAAAGGCAACGGTGTCGCCGTGGTCTCGGCTGAGGCTTCGGCTTTTCAAGCATTGCGCGTGTTTGTTTGTGTTTTTGTTGTTTTACTTTTGTTGTTTTGTTCGTTCGTATTCTTTTGTTTTTGTTGTGCACGAGCGCTTTTCAGCATGCCAAATCAAAATCTGTCAGAACGCCGCCATCGTCGCTGCGCGACTGACAGTCTCGATGCGTCAATAGCCGACAGTAATGTTCATCAGATTGACGCTGAGATAAAAAGCTCTCGGTCGGCAGCGATTGCTCTCGCTCTGGGCCAAAAGCTTCGGATGCCAGGCGCAACTCCTTTGTCTCGCACGCCGCGCAAAGTATGCAACGAATATTTAACTAAAGACAACAACAACTACAACAACGAGAACAACAGTTTTCACAAGTCGTGCAGTGTGCAAAAGATTTCTTGGGCAGCCATCATGAGACCTGACAGAAAAATAACCCTAGAGAATCAATCAAAACGTCAACGACATAAATTGATCAAACTTCGCCAAAACCATGACTATATTATTTATTGATGCAGAGTTGTAAGTTGATAGCACCTGGACATCTTATGACATCTACACACATCAAATAAATAGACAAGAAGCTTAAAAGCTGCCCATAAATTTGTCAAACAGCCTAACAGAAATTACTCATTCTCCTCCTCTGTCTCTTTCCCCTCTCTGTTTGGGTCTGTTTCTGTACTGAAGCTTTCGCGAACATTAAGCGTAAAGTTCACATTACACGTTTTTATACCCTGAACCCATTGAAAATGGGAAATCAGGGTATAATGGTTTTGTTAAAAGTATGTAACAGGCAGAAGGAGGCGTGGCAGACCCCACAAAGTATATATATTCTTGATCAGGGCGACGAGCTAAGTCGATTTGGCCCTGTCCGTCTGTCTGTCCGTCCGTCCGTCCGTCCGTCCGTCCGTCCGTCCGTATGTATGAACGCGTCGATTTCAGAAGATATAAGAGCTAGAGACTTGAAATTTTTTTTCCTAGGTCCGTGTATATCACGCGCATATCAAGTTTTTCTTTATATATCGATCACTACTCCCGATATTTTATTATCGATCAAAAACCTTATCGAAAGCTAGTTATTCAATTATATCTCCTACACCTTTAGAGCTAGAGCTTGCAAATTTTAAATGTAGACTTATATGTATTTTATATAATTTCGATTTTTGTTGTAATTTACCCCCCACCCCTATATCCACCCCCTCACCCTCACCTTTGTAAAAGGCGTATTTCAAGTACTAGAGACATGTGCTTTGGAATGTACATACATTTTCACCATATAATTACGCCCTGAAACTTTTATTAAGATTGTACGTCTAGAAATTAAATTATTCAACAAATAAATTCTTATAATGTTACCTACACTACAGCGCAGCCCTAGCGCAGTTAGCAGAGCTAATTCTAATACGTGTGTGTGTATGTATGTGTGTCGAAAAGAAGTGCAGACTGATTAGAATATCAGATTAGAGGGTTCAGGGTATCTCCTAGTCGAGCAGTCTCGACTAGAGTCTTCTTACTTGTTTCTCTTTGTTACTAGCTGCACGTTTCTTTACCCTAAACACACATAGGGTATATTACGTATGTGCATAGGTTCAATTTAATAAACCAAAATTATTATAAGCAACCGTTACCATTTGCTGCACTGCAATATAATATAAGAGGCATAATGTAATATAAGGCATCAAAATTATGTTAACATAGTTATTTCATTACATTATGCCTTGCTCGTTAAGCTGTTATGTTGAATAACAGAAATCTTGAGGCAAGCACTGTTAACTTATGTCCAAATTACATTTAGCTTATATTCTGTTAAACTATGAAATGTAGTAAGAACGAGTTCTTCTTTGAATATTTACTGGGTATTGCGATATAGATGCTCATTTCATCTTGTTTTTTGTTTGTGTTTTGTTCTCAGTTATTGCCCAGCGCTTTGGTAATTGCTTCCTCGGAATAGGCAATGCAAACACAATTAGTGCAAAGTGCAAGGTGTCACATGTTTTGTATACAAGCAGCTCAACAAAGGTGAATTCAACAACAAATACTAATAGCAATAGCAATAGCAATAACAATAACAATGGCAGCAATAACTAAAGCGACTGTGATTCATTCCATATTCGTGTCTTTACATTAACGAACGTACTAATAAAACAAAATTCTATGCAAAGTGGCTGAGATATGTGTGTAATAGCGATTATATTCAATGGAATACATTGAATTTGATTCCCCTGGCTCACTCAATATGGAGAGACATTGTTAGAACTCGTTTTCAAATATCAACAAATAAACGAATCGCGGGAGATATCATTCAAGATTCATGATTGGGTGGTAACATTTCCCATATTAGCTCTGCCAGCATTTCATTATTTTTATATGCTTCGAGCACTATATTAGACTAAATACAATCAATCATTGAATTCCAAACATTTTTCAGTTTTCATTGACATTATATTCCCAAGCCACAATAAATATTCTTAGATGCAATCTGCGACTGACGTCAATGGATGTTTATTCAGTTATGCTCGTATATTTATATATATAAATATGTATATGGATTCCTGGATATATCGAGAGAATCGCAACTGGGCTTAAAACAAGTATTATTAAAAAAAAAAAAAAAAAATATATATATATATATATATATGTATTTATATATATATGTATATATATTTAAATTAAAAAAAAAATTGTTTGTATATTATATAAATAATTTAATATACAAAAAAAATTTAGTTAAAAAAGATTTTTTTTTTATATATTTTAAAAAGTACTGAAAATAATATTTAAAATGAAATATTGGTTTATAATTATATATAATAAAATCAATAATAATCTGTTATCATTATTAATGTAATAATAATGAAATAATGAAAATAATATTAATAAATAATATTTCGCTGTTCCTCTTTACTTCCATCTCTATATACATATGCATATCTCATCTATATACGCTTTAGTCACTCATAACTTTTCATTTCCATTTTTGTTTTCTCTGTTCAGATGAAAAACTAATATTTGCCCAAGTGCTGGCACATTAGTGTTTTTCCTTAGTTAATTACTATTGAATACGCAAGCATTCTCGATAATTGTTAAATAATAATAATGTTCATAGCGCTTACCCAAAATCGTGCGATGGCGTGTATTACATGACTTGCCAATCAAATTTGAATAAGCCTACTCAAGTTGGCAACAAGTCGCATAGCAAAGCCAAGTTGAATGGCAAAGCTGTAACAAGCTCGAGCTATGTAGACAAGTGTGCCTGACTACTAAATACCGCGTAGCTAAAACTTATTTATAGGCCCTTATGGCAAAACGTTATTCAAATAATTAAATTGTGTTAACTGTGGCTGGCTTATGTAAGAAATTTCAGGAGACTGTCTTTACTTATCGATTTACAATTATCGATCATTTGAAATCGACTTAAATTGGCAAAACTTAATTTAAAATTTTAAAATAAAACAATATTTATACACATGTATATATTTTTATTGTACATCTCATTTGCTCTAACATTTTGATCATACTGTCTTTCGTACATAATTTTCTACAGGGTATCGAATTGCGTTTGATTTAAATGACTATTCATATACGCAGATATGTAGCCAAAGAGACGCTAGTGTTACGTACATATGTGCACTTTAATTGGTGTTCAAGGGAAAATTGAAATGGAAATGGAAATGCTTAGCATAAGCCGACATAGATATTCCAAAAATATCTCAAAGCAAAGCTCACGTGGGGAAGTGACTGCTTATGTATATGCACGTGATAGAGCTTAAGTGTACGTAACAAGGCACGCCCACACACACACACACATACATATAAATATAAAGTCCCGCATCTGTCGAACATTTCCTTCTGGGAGCATTGAGTGAAACACTGCTGCTTGACCTACTTCCACTTGGAGTCTTGAGCAATTTGAAGCAGATGCTTATTTTTAGCAGCGACTGCAAGTGCTGGACAGGTCCTTGGACAAATGAATGAAATAAATTGCAGTCGCCGCATGCAACAGGCAACAGCAAAGGCGGGAGACAAAGCCAACTCGACTCCGGTTGTAACTCACGTCGTTGTCAGGCTTCTTGGTTACGTGCCTCGCATTGTGAGCGCAGTATCAAACGAGATTTGCAGCCACCTTTGGTGGTGACGTCTTTGACCTGACCTCTGCTGATTGTATGGTTATTGAACCCATCTCAATGCCACCTTACTACACTTAACTGGGGCAATTCATTTGCATGCCAGGTGCATGCCAGCCCCTCAACACCCACAGGACGCCAAACAAGCGGGATAAAGCCGATAATGGTGAGAATAAATAGAAAAGCAGGCAATTGGCTCTGTGCATAAAAAGTGGCTAAAGTCCTGATAGTACTTATAAATAAACCTGCAGTGCAGACGTCCTTGAGGTGGAGAGTAGGCTATGAAAATCTGATAGCCTAACAATCATATGATATCAAATAGCTCATAGAGCATCTAAACTAAAGGACTTCTTAGAGTTATTCTAAGATTAACGACAGAGCAGAGTGTGAAGAATAAGTATAAAAGAGCAAATAATATATAATATAGAATAATATAATATAGCCCAAGTTTCTCTAATGTATAACTAAATATAATTCTCATTTCATTGCACTTTGAGCTGCATTTTATTGGAACTCTGACAAGCATGTTGTATATATGAAATCGGATTGTTTGCGTGCCAACAAAAAATATATAGAAATGGAAATGGAAAATTTAATACATTGAAAGGGTTTTGCAGGACTCGGAAATTTTTTTTGTTTTTTTTTTTTGTTTCAAGACTGTTACTGATATGAGATTATTCTTTTTATGGATCTTTGCGT